TGGTGGCCTTCAGTGTGGCCCCTGGTGGCCTTCAGTGCGGCCCCTGGTGGCCTTCAGTGTAGCCCCTGGTGGCCTTCAGTGCGGCCCCTGGTGGCCTTCAGTGTGGCCCCTGGTGGCCTTCAGTGTGGCCCCTGGTGGCCCCTGGTGGCCTTCAGTGCGGCCCCTGGTGGCCTTCAGTGTGGCCCCTGGTGGCCTTCAGTGTGGCCCTTGGTGGCCTTCAGTGTAGCCCCTGTTGGCCTTCAGTGTAGCACTGTAGCCCCTGTTGGCCTTCAGTGCGGTCCCCTGTGGCCCCTGTAAACACAGCAACTCCACCATCCCTGCACCCCCCCCCCCTCCCCGTGGCCACGTCGGGCCCAGGCGCGCGCCCCCTCGCGGTCACGCCGGGCAGTCGGCGTCGTCAGCCCCCCGCCCCCGCCACCACTCACTGCTGTAGTCATGGCGCTGGCGGACGTGTGCGGCTACCGTGAGTGTGCAGAAAGCCTGCCGGGCCTCGGGGCCCGCGGCGGAGACCGTGGCACGCAGCTCCACGAGCTCGACATGGGCTGCTTCTCGGAGCCGCGCTTCGCCATGCCGCCCGGGGAGGACGTGAGTCCCCGCGACGCGGGCGGGCGGGCGGGCGGGCGGGCGAGGGGAACCTGGGGCCTGGCCGATGAGGCCCGGCCGGCGTGGCGTGACGAGCGGTGGGAATCTCTTGCCGCCCAGTGTCTTAGCTGCAGCGGCTCGAGTGTGGATATTTGTGCGGGGCGGGGGGGGGAGTAACACGTGGCAAATGTGTATTTGTTACGAGTTAACGACTTGTAGTTAACGTGCGGGAGATCGGTGGGGCCTCTGTTGGGATAGTCCTGCTCTGAGCAGGCCGCTGTGTCTGCCGCTGCCGGCTTCTCCACAACGTGGCCTCCTCCTCCTCTTGGCGTGTGGCTAGAACCCTCAGTGGCTGTCTCCGAGCTGTGGAGACTGTGTCCGGACTCGGTCTCTTTGGGCCGCGCGTCTCTCTCTGGACTCTTTGTGTGCTGTGTGTCTGTCTCTGGGTTTTGAATTTTCTGTGGACCGTGTAAGTTGCCCGTGGACAATGGTTCTATCTGTTAATTATATTATGTCTTTCTGGGCTAGCTATTTCTCTGGACAGGGTGTTTGTTGGTTTGCATTTGTCCGTGGACTCTGCATGAGTCTTGACTGTCAATGATCTGAAAGTTTCTGGACTTTGTGGACAGTATGTATGTTTTTCCTCTGGACTGCCTATATCCGTACTATGGATTATATATTTTTCTCCGGATTTGGTGTTTTCCTCTGGGCTGCGCATACATTGTTTCGACCCTGTCCCCGTGTTTACAGCCGGTGGAATTCTTGCGGCCCTTCGCGTCGGGCGAGAGCGACGTGAAGATTCAGTTCCAGCACGGCACCACCACCCTGGCCTTCAAGTTCCAGCACGGGGTCATCGTGGCCGTCGACTCGCGAGCCACCGCGGGCTCCTACATCGGTGAGGGCTCATTCACCGGGGCGCTCTGGGTTATATTTCTGACATGGTATAACCCCTATAAAGACGTGATCGTGTACTCGGGTTCCCTTTTTGGATATTCTGAAAAAAATGGAGTGTTAGTTAGCTTTCTTCACATTGCCACTGCTTTTGTATTGGTATAAAAATAAATACCAGCAACTTTCATATCTGAGAACTGTTGATGTATTTTAAACTTCTTTCACACCGTACGTAGCCGACCATGCTGATCAGAGGTGCGGGGGAAGGACAACAAACTTAACAACAAGCAGTTCAAAGAAATGAGTTTGTCAATCTAGATGATGATTTAAAAGTTCATAGCTCCGGTGGCTTCCTTATATCGGAAGGAAGACCTTTCCAGACTCCCGCAGAAGCGCATCTGAAAGCGCCCAATGCACACAAAACAATAGATATATGGGAAGATATTACACTTATTTAATAAGCATACTGCATTTTCGATTCACGGATGCTTGAATTGTTTGAAAATATATAATAGATGTGTATCTTGAATGTGAGCAGAATATATATTTTTGGAGGCTGTATAATTTCTTATCCATATTGATTATCCAACTAATAACCAGCATATAATTTAAAATGAAAGTGAAATGCATTATATGTATGTATCTTTGTAAAACATTGACCGTGCCTCCTCGTCTCAGCTTCACAGACTGTGAAGAAGGTGATTGAGATTAATCCATACCTCTTGGGCACCATGGCTGGAGGAGCAGCTGACTGCATGTACTGGGAGCGAGTCCTTGCCAAGCAGTGCAGGTGGGTTTGTGTTCATCATAATTGACAGTCAAACTACCTTCATCGTTTCAAGTAGTAATTAGGTTTAATTGTGTGGAATATAATGATTATATCGTTTTGTCAATCGACTGCTGGATGAAGGCCTTCCCAAGCGATGTTGGTCGAATGGGTTGTTTGATCATACTTTAACACACTGGTCATTGAAGGTTGGTGAAAAAAGGGATCCATAACCAATTCAGATATGTTAGCTGTGGTGAGGACTCAAACCCAGGTGGCTTGATTTAAAGCAAAGTGTGCTTACTACAATCCTATTACTCCATCTGATGTGGGGAGATGTATATAAAACATATTTTTTTCATATATATATAAACAGGTATGAGGCCGCTGAGACCAGCTGTCTTTTTTTAAAGGGAGAAAGTGTTTAATATGTTTTATTCGTCCCCTTTTAGGATCTACGAGTTAAGGAACAAGGAGCGCATCTCTGTGGCAGCTGCCTCCAAGCTGCTGGCAAACATGGTTTACCAGTACAAAGGCATGGGCCTCTCCATGGGCACCATGATCTGTGGCTGGGACAAGAAGGTGAGACACACATTGTGATTCCAATGTTTTCAGCGGGCATAGATGCGATCACTTGAAAGCCAGCAATAAAGCTGGAATTTCTTGTTGATTTTTTTGCAGTCTGATTAAAAAAGGTGTCTCAAGAAATGAAAACAGTTAATAAGAACTGCTTTTTATGTTTAGTTTGTCCTTTCCCCGCACCTCCTATGAGCATGGTTGGCTACGTACAGAGCGAAAGAAGTTCAACATAAATTAATGTTGAATGTGTGTCAATGCAGGGTCCGGGTCTGTACTACGTGGACGATGAGGGTATGCGCCTGCCAGGCTCGATGTTTGCGGTGGGCTCTGGCTCGCCATACGCCTTTGGTGTTCTGGACAGCGGTTACCGCGAGGACCTGTCCAAGGAAGAGGCCTACGACCTGGGTCGGCGTGCCATCGCTAGTGCCACTCACCGTGATGCCTATTCTGGTGGCGTCGTAAACCGTAAGGGCCCCACTTTATTGCTTACACATAATCAAGAATTGTATTAAGCATAGTGCAAAGTAATGTAGATGAATAATGTAATAGAGATGTGTTCTTAATCACATATGGTGCTAAGGACTGCATTTGAAGCGATGCATGAACATAAATCAAGAAAACCCACCACTATTAATGATTGAACAGAAATATATATGTATATGACATATATGTAAATATATATAGTTTCAGACATGAATATCCGTTTTCTCATTTGGACTGTTAATGCGGGTTGGTCAGTTGTAGCTTCTATAGGTCTTGCATACGAGAGGACTGTGTTTACAATTGCACTGCTAATACATGCTGGTTGTGTGTGGTTGCTCTTTTCCTGGCAGTGTACCACATGTGTCAGACCGGCTGGATTAAGGTTTCTCAAGACGACGTCAGTGAACTGCAGTACAAGTTCCGTGAACAGAAGTGATGGAGACCAGCGCGTTGGGACCCCCGTTCCGAGCCCACCCTTGTGCATAACAACGCGCAGATTCACGGCTGGGATGTCCGTGTGTAAAGATTGGTTAACGCTCCGCGATTTGTGAGTTCTTGTAGCTGTTGGTTGCTCGTGTTGTATGGATGGAATGTCATTTTTTTAAGTTTAATCCTTACCATTTTTTGGAATAGCAACCATTCTGTCACGAGTTTAAGCAGCAATGGAATAGCTAAGCGTTGTCAAATAACATTGAATATTTAAGAATGGCATTTGATCACTTGTTTAGTTACCAGTTTTGTTCACAAGAAACTACTTCAAAATAAACAATTCAACACTTGTCATTCAGTATCGTTTCACTCAACCACCATTGCGGACTCATCATATTCTTTATTCATCGTCAGCCATGGTCGAGCCACTGCTGTAGGAATACCTCTGCCATCATGATCAATCTTTTATTTTTTAAATGACCTAGACAATCGCTTGAGGTATAACATGTTTACAAAAGTGTCCACGGTCTGAATTTACACAGTAATCACGTAATGACACAGATATAAACGTGTAATCTATAACTGCGTACAAGGAACATCGCACTTTGCTGAACACGTGAGTGATGCACACTGCTGGGTCGTACAGTTTACCCCGCACCCCTACTATAACATGCAGATGTCTCGCAGTCTACACCCTTGCACTTATCTCTTTATAATCCCAATACCTGTCAACCCATGCGGTTTAGCCGTAGTCTTGTACAGGAAAATTGAGTGTTCAGGTCCATTCGGTGTACAGTTTCAATACGACAACAACAAAACATCTCTTGTGTCTGTGTTGCCCCCTTGTGATGGGACTTTGTAGGGTGACGTTGAGATCTATAAGGGCACGGGGTGACCAATGAGGTCTGAATTGGTCTGTAACGAGGTAGGGCACTGGTAAGCGGTTGACGGGTGTGTATCCGGCCAAAATGTTGCTTTTGTTTTGAAGTTGAATGCAGCTGTCAAAACAATGCACCACCCGACGAGTCATTGTCACCGGGCCCACGTGCTCACGCCCCCAGATTAAACAATCGACATTGGTCGCTGCGCGGCACCCGTAGGCGTGCGCCCGGCTCTTACATTCGCTACACGGCACAAGCACCGGGGCCGACTCTCGTCCGTGGGGGATGGCTAAAGGCTCCCACGTGGTGTCGCGGAGCTCGCGTCCGATTGGCTAGAGGATCCGGCCCGCGCTTATCCGCTCTGGGAAGTGTGATGCGGCTTCCAGTCGCGCATGCGCAGTCACTGTAGGCAGACCCGTCTCCGTGGTGTCCTCACCCGTCATCCCCTCGCCGCCGTCTCCGCGTCGCCGCCGACTCCTCACCGCCTCGCCACCGCCTCGCCATGCCCGAACAGACGGTGGACAAGGTGGTGGTGCACCCGTTGGTGCTGCTGAGCGTGGTGGACCACTTCAACAGGTACCGCTGGCGCGTCGTCGCGATCTTCGCGCGTTGTGCGAGGAGGCCCCGGACGCGACCTGCGTCTTGCCTGGCCCTCGGTGCCCGGGGAGTAAGCTCGGGAGACGGGCGAAGCCCGGACCGCGCGGGTCACCGGATCCCGAGACCCCCCCCCCACCCCCCCGAGTCCGCAAGGATCCCTGAGACCCCGGGGCTTGCCTCTCGGTTACTCACACGGGGTCGGCGGGTACCCGCCACGCGTGCGGGCGCAGTGAGGCACGATGTGTTGGGCGTGGGGGAAACCGATACCGTCAATGCCGAGTCATCGTGGGCCTCCTCATCTCCCGGGCCGCGTTTGTCTCCTGCCCTGCAGGATCGGGAAGGTGGGAAACCAGAAGCGAGTGGTGGGCGTCCTGCTCGGCTCCTGGTACAAGGGAGTGCTCGACGTATCCAACAGTTTTGCCGGTGAGTGCCTTTTCATTCAAAGCGGGCGCCACTTTGTCAGTGAATGGGATATTGCTTACGTCAGCTCCATCCGAGGTAGCAAAACGTTGTTTTTGTCCTGTACGGTCAAGTGTCGTGAGTTGATGACTGCACAAAAACCCACAGTTAAATTATAGGGGTTTTCTTCACCAAGTTCTGATAAGCATACCTCCTTTAGATTGTAACTGTGGGTTTAAATTAGATGCCACTTAAAATAACGCAACAAAGTATGCCAGTAATTTAAATATAGGCCTCTTGAAGTCATTTAATATTTCCGTGGATAAATTTGATACGTAATATTTTTAATGGACGTTCTCTGACAGATAGTGTCACTTTGTCTCGTCACGTGAGGGAAAAGCATAACGTAAATTAAGTCGGACTTTGAAGCTTACATTTAATGGCGGGTCAGTCTTAGGGCACTTCTACAAACTCAACAACCTGAGTTTGATTCCCAGCCTTATGGCGGGACCCCGGGGTCCTATAAGCCCCCGGCTCTCGCATAAACTGCGTTGCGACGTCATTTGATGTCTGTTGAAAACGAACGATACGGCAATCTATTCCTCTCGACGAGCTCTCCACGATGCGCTAATACAGTTTCAAAGTTGTGTTTCTTCTGCGCATTCGTCCTCGCTGCGCTTGGACGACATGACAACAGAATGATCCGCGCCAGGTGGGTCGCGGCGTCTATGTGCGCGGTGAGACGGAGTCGCCAAAAGTAAATTAATTACGATTTTGATTTCTGTTTATTCGGGACCCCGGGGTCCCGCCATAAGCTTCATATACCAAACGGTATCTTAACTTGTATTGTTTTCCATTGGTCGACTAGCTTTAAACTAGTACCTGGTCCGGTGTGCATTACAGTGGCGGCCTTGATAAGTGCTTGCTAAAAGCACTTTGCCCGAATCATTTGTCAGCTATGATCTTTGCATGGGTACAATGTTTGTATTCAACTACATGTAAAGGACTTCAAATTCCCCTTGCTGTTACGAGCTGGAGACAAATACCTAACAATGTAAGTTGCAGCCCATGGACCAACTCGGCCCCTGGAGTCAAACCCGTATCTTACCCTGAGCCTATGTGCACCTGCAGTTCCATTCGACGAGGACGACAAAGATGACTCGGTTTGGTTCCTTGACCACGACTACCTGGAGAACATGTCTGGGATGTTCAAGAAAGTGAATGGTGAGGACAGTGCTGTGAACTCGCGTGTACAATGCATTCACGAGTAACACCGCTGATCACCGAGGAATGTTGATACTAGTTTTTGAGTAAGATTTTTTAAAATTATGGTTGTAAAATATTCCTCACTTGTATTATTTAATTGAAGACCATGTCGCATATAGTCAGCTACACGGCTGCTTGGCTGTGAAATCTATTGAAAAGTTAACGTTTATTTGTATAGGTCAAGCAATTTATCTTCTAATTTGAAACTCAGTTATACTTGTAAATCTTTATTCTAAGCCTTGATGCATTTGTATTTTTACAGCCAGGGAAAGAATTGTGGGGTGGTACCACACGGGGCCAAAACTTCACAAGAATGACATCGCCATCAATGAGCTCATGAAGCGATATTGCAGCAACTCGGTAATTAAATAATGCACAAAGTATCGTTTTTGTGTGTCGATTGTATATATGATAAACCTGTTCGTTATTACCGTATTTAGTGCTTTGTTGTTACACCGTAATTGTTGTCTGCCTCAAACAAACTCAGGTGCTGGTAATAATTGACGCGAAACCCAAGGACCTTGGTCTTCCAACGGAAGCGTACATTGCAGTTGAAGAAGTGCATGATGTAAGTCATTCTGTCTTGAATCCCAATGGCTTTTAACTATCAAGTCAGTTTTTAGTCGTACACGCACTGATTCTTTTTCGTGCATCTGCTGCATTTTTAAAGTTCATACATGAATCAATGCACATTTTCCCCAATATTTTAGTTATAGACGTTATATAAATGAGTGTTTTTCTTGTTCAGGATGGAACTCCAACTTCCAAAACATTTGAACACGTGCCCAGTGAGATTGGTGCAGAAGAGGCAGAGGAGGTGGGCGTAGAACATCTGCTCAGGTAATTACCAAGGTTTTGTTTAAATATATTGTATGGATGGTGTGGGGGTGCTGCAGTGGCAGTGATCAGCACACTGCACTATGAACCCAGCATACCTAAGTCCGATTTCCATCCATGGCTAACATCAGTGGAGAGATGTTAACTCCCTCACCTGTATGCAGGAGGTCGTGGATTCAATCCCGACCCTGATGTATGTATATTTGGAGTTTGCATGTTCTCCCCGTGGTCGTGTAAATTTTTATCTGGGTCTTCTGGTTTTTAAATCCAGATTTAGAAACGTGCGTGCGTTTAAGAGTATTTGGCTGCTATAAATGTCCACGTGATATGCCACTTTGCTGACAGATCATTTGTGGTCTGGTCGCTTTTTAAAAAGAGCTATGGAACTCAGTGGGCCTTACCGGGTAAAAAAAAATTGTTTCGTTTTAGTCTGTAGAGATTGATTCCTAAACCATTCCTGAGCCACCCAGCCTTTACTAACGTTCACGAACCAGTGTGGTGACATGTTCAAACAATCCCTGTGAACGACACGGTGTGGGGAAGCCTTCACTCAGCATTAGCTCGACCAAGGGCTTTACATTATGATTTGTGTTCGTATATATTTTTGTTACCATGTTTTAGCAGTGTTCATTAACATTTTTGTTTTCCAACTATGTGTCTACACATTGCCGAGGAACGTTTCTTGAGAAGGTTTTAATTGTGTTGTGTCTGCAGGGACATCAAGGACACAACGGTGGGCAGCCTGTCGCAGCGTATCACCAACCAGGTGCATGGCCTGCGGGGGCTGCAGTCACGCTTGGGTGACATCCGCACCTACCTGGACCGTGTGGCTGCCGGCTCCATGCCCATCAACCACCAGATTGTCTACCAGCTGCAGGACGTGTTCAACCTACTGCCCGACGTGGACCTGCGCGAGTTCATCAAGTCCTTCTACCTGAAGACCAACGACCAGATGCTGGTGGTGTACCTGGCGGCGCTCATCCGCTCCGTGGTGGCGCTGCACAACCTCATCAACAACAAGCTGGCGAACCGGGAGGCGGAGCGCAAGGAGGGCCAGGAGAAGGAGGACGCACGCAAGGATAAGAAGGAGGAGGCGGAGAAGAAGGAAAAGGAGAAGAAAGAGGAGAAAGAGGAGAAGGAGAAGGCCGATGCCAAGAAGAGTGAGGCGAAGGAGAAGAAGTGAGATCTGAGCCCAGTGGGCTCCCGTTGGACTCCGCCATTCGACACTGTCTGACGCCTGTGCTGTCCATGGATGTGTTTTGTCTCGAGTGTTGCATTCGTTGTATAAAACGGTCGTATGCCTCCAGTGTGTGTGTGCGTAATGATTTTAGTTACATAATATCTAACCAGGCCCTAATCTCATCAGCTGGGTCTGTCCGGGTCTGTGACCCAGAAAATATTTCAACACACCCGGTGCACCACATCCAGTATACCTCTCATGGCTGTGCCTACTCGTCACGTATCACCTTTAGTCTACCAGCGACTAGGAATATATTCGGTGAGAAATTAAGCCCTGCATATAACATCTGGGACTAATTGAATGCAGTACAGTTGATGGCTATAATAATGTTTGCTGTATATTCACATGCTCAAGTATTCTTAACTGATGTGCATTTGATAATTTTTCATTGACTTGAGTTTCACAAATGAGTTTGATTAGCTAGTACATTGGGAATTCTTTTTATGCATAAAAGAATAAGCTTAACTTATAACAAGGCTCTTGGATTATTCCACTTGAACGTAATTTAGGCCATGCATTCATGTATAGATCCAAACGCTTTGCACCTAAAGAACACGCATTTGGTGTGGTGGGTAGAAAGACTGTCGGGTTTTTCAAAATAAAACGTGTTTTAGATCATTGGCACTGTACGTGTGATTGTGGGATGTTTTATAAAGAGCACAACTAATGGTTGTATGACTCGTGTCCGTTCTGCATAAACCACCACAGCCCTTGCCAAATACTTTTGTCAGATCAACATGGGGATGAGGTTTGATAACCATGCTGCTTTCCAGCAAAAGGACACGCGACCTGATAACAGGAATCCATAATTCGCACTGCATCCAGTTCGATCGACCCTGTAATTAGCACGTGACCTGGTAATTAGCTAGAGGCGGTAACCAGCACGTGGAGCCGGCAATGAGCACGTGACCTGGTAAAGAGTGCGTGAGCCGGATGGGAAGCAACGTGGTTGGTCCGTGGGGCCCCGCGCAGTCGCACCGCCTGCGCACTCGACAGCTGTTGCGACTGGATGGAACCGGCTCCCGGTCGCCCAGGGGCGTGGGCGCGCCGCGATGATTAGTTGCGGAGTTGGGGGAACTCGCACAACCATGGAACTTTTTCAGCTTTGCAACCCGGCCATCTCCCAAGGTTAGGTCAACTATTTGGTGACGCCGCCGCTGCTACTACTGCTGCGTGTGGCTGTGACTCACAAGCACGCAAACAAACAGCTGTGGTCTGAAAATGTAACAAGTGACGTTTCCGGGCAATGGCCCTTAATAGCATTTCGTCACGGACGTGTTCTAGAGAAGGATCATTGCTCGAAACGTCAAGGCGTCAATGTTCTCATCCACTACCATTTCTCACCACTCGCCCGTCACATCATTCGCAATCATCACACTGCATTAACCATGCTTAGTTCCCGAGGTGCAATGGAACTTATACAGGTAGGAACAACAGCTCCACACTGCCCACCAGGGATTATTTGTCTGTCTGTCGTGCATAGCCACGCCCTCGATCTGTATTTCGTAGAGCGCTTCGGGCGGGCTCAGCACCACGTGACGCGCCGTCCAACCAAGTTGCTACCTGCCGCCCACTCCGAAGGAACGTGTGAACAACAATGTCGACTTGTAACGCGCCGTGTTGGATTCGCTCACTCGCCAAGAGCGAGGAACCCACAGGCGAGTGGGGTGGTCAGCAACTTGAGTCGCTAAATTCTCACCACTGGGCGGAGCGGAAACTCGTGCAGAAGGGTCGGCCAGACATGGGGGCAGGACGAGGGGGGAAGGGAAGGGATTGCCGGGACGGAAGACTCCCAAGGCGGACGAAGCCTCTTGGAGGGCCCGGTTCAAGGTGAACAGCGGGAAGAGAGGAGGAGCGGCCGGGGAGGAAGGAGGAGAAGGGATATAACCGGGCCGCGAAATCGGTGGTGAGAGGGTGGTGGTGGTGAGAGAGGGGGGAGCGGGAGAAAAAGAGGTAAAAGAGAGTTCACCATAACTTCAATGTTTCATGTAAAGCGCTTTGAGGCCTTGTAGGAATTGCGCTACTATATATAAAACAGGAGTTTATTATTATTATAGAAACGAGCTGCACGAAGGCGCACGCAGCAGCGTCTGTTTTCACAGGGGGCGTGGCCACACACGAGTCACGTGGTTCACGGGAGGCTTTGAGCGAGTTGAGAACGCGCGGAAGCCCCTCGCCCAGCCACCACCACCACGGCGGATGCGAGGTTTCGAGAATCCACGCACCGTGATCTACCACACACGCACCCTGTTGCCAACCACGGTTTCGTACAGTTTCGCGTGACCACGGTTTGGGGTTTTGTGCCACCCGCGATTTCAAATGTCCGCCCGCGTCCTTGAGCGACGTGCAGGCAGTCGTGAGTAGGAGAGCGCCGTGTGCGCCGATGTGCTCCTCTCAAGGGCGGCGTGACAGCACGCGGCCCCCACCATGGCGACTCAACGGCGCCGCAAGGTCGGCAGAGTTCTCGGTTCTTAGATGTGAGAGCCGCGTCGCGGACGTGAAGGAGTCCGCCGATGAGGTGAAGCGGTCAACAAAATCTCGGGTGCCTGCGATTTCGCAGGAGGTCGTCGTCTTCAAGCCCCCCCCCCGCCACGTTAATAATCGAAACGCGTCTAAGAGTATTTTGCCGCGATGCGTTTCCACGTGATGATAATCCGCCACTTGGTTGAGCTTATCACTTAAAACGAGCTGTGTAGCTCAGTGGGGCCTTGCCTGGTCAAATAAGAATGAGTTTTAGTTCAGCCAGTTATGAGGACAGCCTCCCCCCTAACATCATCGTCACTGTCATCTGGGACTTCACTATCAACATTAAAGGTAATTAAAAGTATTGTCGTTGCTACGTTACTGTACATATTTCCTCATGTTTACAGAATGAATAGGATTGCGTAGTGAGGCTTCGATGAAAGTGTTAACCGCGGCCGTGGAACCTAACCCCCGATTTCCCGACCAATGGGGAGTTTCAGAAACCTCACCCCTGCGATGTCGAGGAATTGCTGTGGAGATAAAAATGCCCTTTTATTATCCAGGAAAGTATTAGCAAGGCTTGAGACTTCGGGATGTTTGGCCATGAATGTGCGTAGGAGGAGAATTAAATGCCAGGAGTTAACGCACCGTATATACGAGGGGATAACACCCAAAGCTCCACACAGATGGATTCAACAATCCATTGCTGTACTGTCATCTCCTTGCAGCCCAAGTCTGCAACGCCTGGATTTCTTAGGCAGTTTCCCATCCAAGCATTAACCAGGCCCAAACCTCGCTTGGCTTTCGATATCCGACTGGATCGGGCATGTTTTTTAGAATTTCGTCTTCACCTTCCAATCGTGCGAACAGTTCCAAATTACCAGGCCTAAAAAAAACCCTAATCTGACACTGACAATCCATCAGTGTGCCCTGCTGGGCACGTTATTGCATCTACTAATCACCGCGGACCTGCCCCGACCCCTAGCCCCATCACCGCATTTGACGCGCACAACTGAAGTGCCGTTGAGTCTTTGCGACGATGTTGGTGGTGCACGGAACGTGCAGAGCGGTGGTGTGGGGCCCGTGGCACGTCCTGGTAGGGCGCTGCCGCCACTGCTGCTGCTGCTGAGGCAGTCATCATTAATGCATGGAGCAGATGGATTTATGGAACGCACACCAAAGCGTGCTGCGTGCAAGTGGGGACTCTGCGCTTGTAGCTCCTTAATGTTTCATGTAACTCGAGATTGCCGCTGGATCATTCTAAAGTGCCGTGTATTATTGCCCCATGTATCATGCAGTTAATTTTTCTTTTACATATAAATATACGGTTACACGGTCGAGATCCTGCATTCCTGCCCTGCGTAATGTCTGATTGGATGGTGCCACTAAAGCGTCCCCTTTGCCTCGGAGCCGTGACGTCTCCCGTGACCCTCGGTGAATTTTATCTCTAATCGTTCGCATCGCTTCCCAGGGGTTGCGACCCCATGAAGGTTCGGGGACGAGATTTGTTCCCACGGTGATGTAACTATACCCCCCCACCCGCCCCAAAGTCCCCCGCCCCCCTCGTATATCCGAGAAGTCAGGCCGCACAAGAAGGTGCCGCTCTCTGGCTGTCGTGGGAACGACAGCACCACAAGGTGGGGCGTTTGGTGATCCCAGTCTCTGCGGGTCCACGTGTTCCCATCTTCCCGCGCGGGGCACCCAGAGGGCATCATCGGCCAAGTCAGACATGCCCAGGCGCGTATCGTCCGGTCTCGCGCTGCCTCTGCCCACGTGCGCTGCCAGGCAGCGTGTGCTCCGTGTGGGTTGTGACAGCAGCAAGGGCGATGCTGCCATGAGAATTGTTGCTGCTGAGTCAACGGAAAACCCAAGTTGCTGCTTGAGGAATCTGTGCAGGGCTTCGTGGGGAGTGACATCTGGCCCGACAAAATTTTAGCCCACTGTAGATGATATTTTTTGTCCAATCGGAGACCTTCCTTGGTTTGCTTTTACTCGTGAGGGTCCTTTCCAATTTCCCCCTTGTTGAGCTTTTGGTTGAGGAAATATGAAGGGACGCCGCCACTTTAATTTCTATTGTCTCAGTTTAGGGGTTGCGGACAGAGGTTAGCTGTAAGGGTCGGCTTCAGAGTTGGGGGTTAGGACTTGATGTTTGGATCTCGTGTTAGGGGGATCCACATCTGGGACAGGAGTGCTGGAGACCACTTTTCTTGCTCTGCATCACTGCAGGGAAGGTCATCTCGGTCTCTTTCAAATGCTGCCAAATGCTACTCTCCATATTATTTTTTGGGATGTTGTGCCAATTGTATACATCACCAACAATGGGGACAATAACCACGATGGGGGGGGGGGGGGGTGTTTTACCATGACATTTAATGTTATTGGAAACGTAGTGACAAAGCAAACTGCTTCAGATATGTTTTGTAAAAGCTATTGCTTTATTTAATCTCCAAATATACAAACTGCTGATGGAATAATAATTTAGAAAAAAATGAGCACTGCTTGAAATCCATCTCATGGCGAGGCGGCTGAGTAGCTCAGGACAGACACCGAGCTGACAAGCCCTGAGATCCTGGGTTTGAAATCTGACTTTCAGCCACCAGTGATTTAAACGGGTTCTCAAGTTGAGCGAGTTCATGGCCTGAGCCCAGTTACTGATGACTGCAGAGTAAAATATGACATTGAATTTAGATATTCACCTCATTTGCCATCTTCCAGCTCCAATAATAAAACTTCGGAGCTGTTGACATGTGACAAAACAATTTTCAGGGGCATATAAAAGGTGTGCTCCTCGTGTGGGTTAAAGAGGGCTATCGAAGTGACGTTGTACGTCGTCCTGTCACCTCGTCTTGCAGGGCATTCTCTTACGCAAGGGGACATACTGCTCACTGTGAAAGTTCAACGTGGAAATGTCTTCATGACATGGGATGTTAGTTGGGGGAGGGGGGAAAAAACAAAGCTAAAAATCTATCCCAAGCACTTAAAGAGTGGCGGCAGAATTTTCTCAATGGAACCGAGCGACTCAATGGCTCGCAACAAAATCGCCCAATGCTGTGTCGCCGTGGCTCGGGAATTGGGGCAACCTCTTTTACGTCGATGCTCAAAGAGCACGCGGTGCCCTCCCAGTGACCCTGGACCAGGGCCAGTCCCTCTTGCCACACGGGGGGTTCTCGCGCTTCGTGGAGCCGTGAACCGGACTCTCACCCTGTGGTTGTGCCGGCGAGGGGTGGCAATCGTGCGCTTGCTATGAGGCGGCACGTGCTACGAATCTCGCTTCATTGCAACGAGAAATATTGCAAAAAACAGACTTCATGCAGCGCTAACTTTTTACACTATATTAATTTCTGTAATTTGTTGACCGATTCGGCGTAAAAAACAAAACAGTAAAAAAAAAAAGAGCAGCTTGCCAAAGTAGTTTAGGGTTAATAACACGCGGCTTCCAAACCCACCGTCTCCCTCCCGGACGAACGAACGAACGAACGAAGCCCTGTGGGAGATCTTAATGGTATCGGACTTCTACGCTCACTTTGCAATGGTCAGCGTCTGCCTGACTCTGGTTTTTTCGCCGAAGCCTTTCAATCGGGTTTTAGCCACTTGGCTTGCATTTGTGATGGAGGGCATTGAGTGGCTGTGAATCCAACAAGTGGGCATGCACTTACTGCAACTCCCATGTGGGCCTCGGTGAACAATCTTATATTCTCAGCGCCGAACAGCTCACCAATTGCAATCTGCTACATCAGTATGTTCTCTTTTCCCCCCAGAGGTACGGAGTACAAAAAAAAAAGAGGGAGAAGAGTCGGCGGTTATTGTTGAGCGGTGAGCTGGCGCCGGACAGAGTCATTGTCGTCGTCGTCCGTTGGCTCGGCGAGAGTAGCGATGCTACGTGGAGCGAGATTCTGGCTCGGACGGGCAAAGCCGCGGACGGGTATGGCAGCTCTCGGCGCCGAGACGTTTCTCCGGCACCGTTGGATTGTCGGCGCGTTGCTCGCTGTGCCGAGTGAAGGTGAGAACGGTGAGTGACGCGGGGGGGGTGTGGTGCCCGCGAGGTGTCTGTGTTTGAAACCGTACGCCCCAAACAGTGGCCGTGGCGACGTCCTGTTCTTACTGGCAGAAGATACGGTTGGCATTCCTCGTATTTTTTGTGAAATGCGAAGTGCTCGGCAGAAATTACGGCAAACGTAAGAAATGTATGCGTACGTGTGAGTGCTTTTAACAAAGCATAAATAGAGATTTATTTATTATTCTAGTTGTAGCGAGGGGGCTGAAAGTGGACTCCCAGTGGGGAGGTGCAGAGTTTAATTCGAGGGCAAACGCCTGAAATCTTAGAAACACGAGACTTTGTCTCCATCAGCCGAGCAGCAAAAATCATGTGTGGTGGGGTAAAGTGTGAGTAACCACTACTTATAATTGGGCTAACCACCACTGAAGAATAATGGCAACTCCGTTTAAAAGGGAGGGAGTTTCTCTGCTGCTGGGAGTCACGGTTCTGGGTCATTCGTTAATAGTCACTTTGTGGAAAGTACCATGCTGTAATGTAGTTGCTACGTCGCAGGACTGTGAGAGATTGCGATGGCTTAGGGTAAGCCTTCATCCAACAGTGAATTGATCGTGGCTTATAATGCTGATATCGATAATGGGCAGTACCGTAGTGTGGACGTTCCTTGCTTGTTGTTCGTACTACGCACTTGCAGGACATTGCTTCGCTCCTTGGCTTTAGTGCTCGTTAACGATGCTGTCGACTCTTCCATCTTGTGGAGCGTTTGTGGCTCACAACCCAGCTCTCAGGTTGGTGCCGGAAATGTGCTCGCGGCAGCGCCTGACACCGCGTGTAATCGCGCGAGGACAAAAACTACGACTTCTGTGCTCATTAGAAATTCACACGGCTGTGTCCGAGCAGCTCGTCCTCGTGACCGCGTGTGCGGTTTTTCGGGGATGTGCTGCCGCCGCGTGGCCCTCTGATGCGTTTTGGGGTCGTACCGCGTGGTGCTCGGCACAGCGTCTTGATGTTTCACCACACGCGCTGGGAGCCCCTTCGGGAACGAGCGCACGAGACAACGAGGCATGCCTTAACATTGTCTATATTTCCATCGCGAGAGAAGTGACATGTTGGCAGCTTGAAGAAACTATATATCTCCATCGATCAGGTGATTTGAAATCTTGCTCCGTCGTGCTACGCACTTTCTTGAAAAAACAAAACGCACGCCCACGAATTGCTGGGTGGCCTCACGACAGCCTCGCCGAGCCCGTTAGCCCGTCGCGGTGAGCGCAGGCCACTGACAACCGCCCAGAGAGGACATCCGCCAACGCGATGGCTAGCGCCGCGTGTGCTCGATTACACGGGTGGAAACATGAGGCCTGGCCCTGCAGTGCGGTGCCGGAGCAGCGATGCCTGCAGTTTGTATTCTCAGACACTGGGTGGTCCCAAAGCACCGCGCTTGGTTTCGTGAAATGAATAACTGCACGCGGGAGTGGATTTTTAAGGCGAAACCTGATGCGGGCTTAAACTGGACGCGCTGTGCCTCTGATGCGATGTTCGCGCCCTCCGAGAGAATCCTTCGCGCGGTAGTAACAGGGTGAATGCGCAGCTGCGTTACCGCTCGAAAGGTGTGTGCGGAAAACAGGTATGTGGTGTCGTGCAGGTTTGCTGGTGATTGCAGTTATTTTGGTGCGCGTGCAGTGGATGTCACTTGTCTGTGCACAAAATTGTGGAGCGATTCGCCGAAACGCCGTCTCGTGTTTATAGTTTTTGTCACATGCGGCTGACCCACTGTGACGCGACTGCAGCACACACGTACGCACGTGCACGCACGCGTGGAAGACAAATATCCCCCGTATGTACCCATATGGATGGTTGGGGCAAGAACTGTTTGCGAGCACATATTAATGTTGGCACATTGCACGGGGGGTGTTGTGGCCAGCACCATGCCCGGCCACCTTTATCTCCACAGTGCCGATGTTCGCACGCAGAACAGGTGGTAATTTAAGGCTGAGTGGACTTGGTGAGGCCCAAGAACTGTTCAAATATTCCCCACTGATGTTGACCGCGGTTGGGAATCGAACTCGGGCGACGGGGTTTGTAGCGTGGTGCACTACCCACTGTACCTCCGCCTCGCCTCGTGCACGCACGCACGTATACGTGCGCACTCGAACCCTGTGCACATGCACAACAAACGAAATGGCCAAAGTGCATTCATTAAATACAATTCCGTAAGCTGTACAGCCTTGTGTCATCGCATTAGCGCCAAGGATTCCCACAGACACTTTAACTGCACGCACTCTGTTTCGCCTGACGGCGTGATTACATATTGATAAGCGGGATAAATTCCTCATGCTGGGGGTGGGCGAATGGAATTTTATGAAAAAATAAAAGGGGCCAGATTGCAATCGATCAATATTATTTTGCCATTAAAGCTTTGTGTTATTGTGTAAAAGATGACTTTTGTCTAGACATTTTAATACACGAGCGTGCAGGCCAGGGTGCGGAGATGAGTCCCGCTTTTTCCGGTGACACGGTTTGTGTACTTAGCAGTTTTCCCGGGAATCTGATCCCCACAACTTGATCCGCTCGGGCGACTCCGAGTCTGTGCTTTTAAGATGATCTCTGCCTGCGACCACTCCTTTCGCCGCCCGCGTTATTTTGTAAAAGCCCCTTATCTATTTAAATGCAGCGCACAAATTCAATAGCCCGGCCAGCCCTCTGCTTGCTTGCAAACGCCTGTTTGAACTGCAGTGTCATTATTTGCTTTAGCCGCAGTGGCGAAATAAAATGCGTTTCCAAACGCCAGGTGCTTGACTGACATCTCTATTAAAAGGTTATTAGGAGGATGTGATACAGATAGATTCAAAGGCTGAAAAAAAATCTGGAGGCCATTTAAAATATTCATTCCAGATGGAGGGACGCATACTTTCTCGGATGCAGCAGTGAGGGCCGAAGTATTCATGTTTTTTCTCGGCACGGGTGCTTATTGTGCGCAGGGCATTTGGAAGGAGGCATTCGTCTCTGGGCACCCCCGCTTACCCGCACGCAGAACTCCGTTGAATTAACTGTAATGAGACGAGACGGGTTCTGTGGCGGCACCATCTATTGCACGGAGCGGGGAAGTGAGGTGGCCCCTAAAGATGGCCTGGACCAATGCTGCTTCTGGGGCTGGTGAAGGATTTTTTTGATCCCTTTCCCCTCTTATGGGGTCACCGAGTGTCTCGGTCCCATGAAATAAATAATGCTGCAGATTCTTTGACGGCCGGCCACAGCGCTTGTTTGTGGCATTGCAGGGATGCGGAAAGCACATTGCAAGTTCATTGTGGCGTTCAGCGTTTGTGAATCCATACATTGTTCAGATCTGGCACCGTGTTCTCTGTGGGTCCTCAGCATGAAAAATAAAATTATTTGAGCTGAATTCGGAATTTATAACTGCATGGAATGTCTGCTTTTAGGCCTTAATTTATATTTTAAAATGAGCTACTTTCAGCAGGCGCTCAGCCATCGTAGATTTCATTTTTTTTGCCTCGACCTTGTTTGATCCTCTAAAAGTTATTCCGTGGACTGCTAGTCTACACTAGGAGGGGCTCTTTCATCTTCTGATTCCGTAAGTGAACGTGATATTTTGGTTTGTGTGATGGGCAGGGGGTTTTTTCAATTTATTTCTGATGGATTTTTTTAGGTCAAATTTTATCCGGAGAGAGCGAACCTTCGACATAACAAAGTCTGACCACGTTGCCTTTTAAGTATTTCTCTTTCCATAGCCGACCGAATTAAGTTTTAATTTTTCACACTCGTATCCCATTTAACCGCACGTCAGCGAGCGAGATTGAGGGCCCTTTGATGGCGGAAAACTGTATGATTTGCTTAGGGTGGCAGCCCTTTGAAGGGACGAACGGCAGGAGTGGCTCGAGCCCTGGGCTCGCCCCAGGCCTCCCAAAACACGGGCCCCGGTAATGAAGCTTTCCGCGGAGCCTCGTCGAGTCGGCAAGCCGCGCTGGTGCGGTTATCCGCCGCGGCCCCATTAGCATGCCGCCAGCATCCCTCTGCAGGCCTGGCCCTAATCGGCCGGCAGTCGCGGTCCCCTAAAAACAGGCGCCGCTTGTGTTCGGAATATCCTGCATGCGCAAATGTGTGCGTGTATGTGCATGCGTGTTGTACGATAAATGGCAGGACTAAAATTTGGAAAAGTTTTGCTTGTCATTACGCGTGCGTAATCCTTGTGCTCGTGGTCTCAAAGGCATGCATTTTAATATTCTTGAAATGTATACAATTGGTTTTGTAAGAAAAGGTCTGTGCGGAGGATTTAATATAAAATGTAAAAAAAGAGCCGACTCGTATGGAGCAATTATTGTAGAAAACATGAAGAAGAACCAATTTTTCATTTTTATTTTCCACAAGGAATGTGTGGAATGCCTTGCAGTGTGGTGTGTGTGTGTGCGTGTATGCCCAGGGTCCAGAGGGAACCACAGTGTGGGGTCAGTGCATGTTAGTAAATCAGCAGCAGTAAAAATTAAGACAAATGTGCCAGAACATTTTAAAAAATGCGCGCTTGCTTATAGTTATTAATGGGTTAAAAATTTTAATTGCCGTAACAATGTACTTTCAATAGATGACCCACTCTGAATAATCAACCCTAGTGCAGCGTTGTGTGTTATTTAATTTGTAAAACGATTTAATATCATGGTACACTTTTAGTCAGCAAATAAGCGCATGCATACATAAACAAAATACATGTATATAATTTCAGCCCTTGTCAATTCACTGCTGAGTGAATGTCTCTCCAGACTGTGTTAGCCATGCGAGTTGTTTCATCATACTTCACCACACTGGCGAATGGATTGCTAAAGTGGGGGGGGGAGGGTTAGAAACCAATATGGACATCACATTGCAGTGCCTTGCACTAACCGCTGCACCACTAGTACTTAATATAAATGTAAAATAAAAAAATGTGTAAACCCAAAATTGTATTGTTCATATCAATGAATGCATGGCAATATGTAGATATATTTTGACTATTTTATTGAAGCGATAATCATATCATTTTCGATGCTCTCGTTAATATTGTCACTACGAGTCTGGTCGCTCGAGTGTTGATCCTGGGCCTGCAGGGTCCGGCGGGGTTGTTTGCAGGTGACCGTCGTCGTTGATACTTCACAAGCGGCGGTGGTGTGGAGGGGGGGGTCCAGGTGGAGACGGGCAGGTGGGGGCAAATGACTTATTCTTGATTGAACCAACATGAATATTTTTTACATTTTATATTTCTGAAAAATTTCAAAGTGTCTGACGTATAAAGGCTAAGTGTGCGTGTGGTGTTGTGGTGAAGTAATTGGGACCTTTTGCCCCCCCCCACCTCCGGCTCTGGATGCTTCCCTGAAAACGGTCCCAGCATGGGAAGCGTTTCTGGCTCGGGATCTCGATGGACCTCGATCTGAGGGGGATTGACTGCCGTCCCTCAGTGCCGGATTATCCTCGGGGCAAAAGTAGCATATGCTATGGTCCCCACACTTTCAAGGGCCCATGCTAAATGCTTTCAAGCTATCAATTCCTGTTCAGTGATTCTGCACTTGCTCTATTCCTATAGTACTATACTGCCTTAAACTTTTATGATCGACTGGGTGTTTAAGGTTAGCGATTATCTGGCTGTATAGATAATGAAAAAAATACAATAACTTTACTATGCATGTAAAAAATTTGTGTTTTAATATTTACGTGTGTTTTTTATTTAGGGCCCCTTTATAACATATGCTACAGGCCCCGCACTAGCTTAATCCGTCACTGCCGTCCCTCCTCGGTGTCGTTTTTTGGGCCCTCAGTGTGAAAGCCGGAAGTTTCGTGCGATGCGACGGAGCTTGCTCTTCTGGACGGATGTTTTCTGGGTCACCGGTAAAGTGGAGTAGGTGGGTTGGCACCGTGACTGGTAGCCGTGCAGCCGTAGTCAGGAGAACCGATTGATGGGACGTGGTGTGCCGGGTTGCGGGAATATTTTTCATGTTGCCGGACGGAGTGTTCTGAAGTCACGTGGATGTGTACGTCTGCTCTGCACCAGGCTGCCTGGCTTCTCTCACGCCCGCTCGCAGCAATTTTGTATTTATATGTAATGCTTAAGGTACAACATTTTAGATCGGACAGCATCAAAGCAGTGGTCGTGTAAGGATATATCAATTTAATGATGGAGGGGTGTCCGGAACCGATTTTGATATCACTCGCCACTCGCGTGTGTCACGGCCACGTCTCAAACTTGGGTCCACGAGGTTCGTGGCACGATACGCTGACCACTGTCGCCCAACCCGTGTCGAATGGACCACAACGCGTTGCTAATGGCCAGCGCCGAACCTGCGCGAGCGGAGCAAGCGAAGGGAACCCGTGACGGATGCCACTTTGCTCGTCATCCACAGCCCGAGAGTGAATGTAAACAACGAGCAATGCCACGTTTGGTAAGGGCCCTGCTTAATAGCTGGGGCATGTACGACCTATATGGTGTGTAACTGAATAATGTATCCTATATATGGTATGTGTAATAACATATGCTACAGAGAGAGTGTGCGCGTGTATGCAGATTACCATTATCGCCTATGGATATATTATCAAAGTCACATTTTAGCCTATATTAACAAAAACTCAACTCGTTTGTCAATGAACCTGCGTTGAAAGGAAACGTATAATAGGTGATGTTTTGGGCAATGACCCTCCTTAAGGTGGTGTTATTGACTAACGTGTCGAGTCGTTTGTGCTCTTGCACCACTGCGGACTCAGTATCGCCAAATCATGCCCTACATAGTGTGTAGAATTACATATATGTATGACAATGTTATATCCCGGTGTCCTGTGCGTACACGGAATAACATGTAATTAATAGATTGTTTGTAGAATAACGTTATACCTTATGTAGTTTAATCCATAATACAGGTTCTTTTTTTTAGATAGATCACGTAAATATAAATGTATCGTTAAACCCGCCACCACCAGGCATAGCCAATTAGTAAGGTTTGTCGCATAAACAAAACGTGCCAATTCATTACTAGTACAGCACACCGGTTGTGTGTTGCAGAGTAAGCCCACAACGTTTACAATCTGAGAACGATGTTTTGCCAGTAATTACAACGAGCATCATCAGGCGGACAGCCAGATTTGTGGAGAAATCCTCCTGTTTTGTTCCTTAGAGGGATAGATGTGATGACGTCACTTGTGATTCCTTCAGGTGCGAAGGGGGGGGGGGGGGAATTAATGAATGCATATAAATTATAATGGGCATCCAGTACCGGTTGAGTTATTCATATGGTAATAAACCTGCACATTATGCGTGCACATTGTGCGTGCACATTGTTCTTGTACCTCCTGTCATTTGTGTGCAATAAAGCAGCAGTACCTGTTCTTGTCTGCCCATTGACGTATGGTGACCTGTATAGGCATGCATTTACACAATGTGTTACTTTATAATTCGCTTCCAAGCAGCACTAAGCTTGTAGCTATCCTGAATGGTTAAAATTATTACATACGCTATCTAACCCAAAAAAAACCTGTACAGTATTATAGATGATATTGGTCGCGAAAGCCTACGTGTTAAACGTATGTAGTTTGTCTGTAGAGCAAAGTGAATGCAAAACGTCGCTGTGGTGGTGGTGATGGGTGTCACTTTGAGGCCGCCTCTGAGTGGATTGCGCACCAAATTGGCTGCCGGCGCACCTGGGTTCATTGGTGCAGCGCTGGGAGAGGGAGCGAGGAGAGAGCGAGAGATCTCTTCAGACCGCGCGGCGCTTGTCTTTGATGGAGCGAATCGGGGGGCCAAGCGCCGTTAGTGCCGGCGAAGGTTATTTACGCGAATGCAGATGGTGACGGACCTCGTTAAGCACGGGAGAGAGGCCGATCACGAGCTGCCGCTGCTGCGGCCGCGTTGACTTCACACTTAAACTTGACGTGGGCGGCGGAGGCGTGGGTTCGCGTTACCGGCTCGAGCTGTTTGAATTTAAGTCCTATTGACCCCCGCGCTCTGACCGGGGTCTCACCCCCACGACCCCTGAAATGCAATCGCTCTCGGGAGCGATGCACGTGGAGTTTGGTGCCAATAGAGCGGCGCTTTTTCGGTAGGGGGAAAATTAAACCAAAGTGGAAGAGGAGCGCAGGTGGGGGAACATCCTTTTGAGCGAGGCGGCGAGCGCTCTGATGTGCGGCCTCGCGAGCGACGGCCGCTCGGAGCGGGTGGCGGCGTAGTCGCAAGGGTTGAAGGCGGCACGACTGGGGCAGGGCGTCACGCAGTGGGGGGGCCCGAGATCGCCTCGAAATGTTGCACGTTTTAAAACGACCACCAATAACGCGGCGGTAACTTGATTTTGTAGATTTGGCGTTATTGTACGCGCCATATATCACATTTGTCTGAAAAATGTGCGTCGGTGTGATTAATGTGTGGTCGATATTGAAATCCCAACGTGTCCGCGCGCGCTAATCGCGCGGCGTTTCTTTTTGTGTTGTGCGTGCGCGTGGTCGATTGTTACCGTTTCGAAACGCATAACACAATGTGAGCTCGCACTCATTACGTTTTTTTTAAAAAAACGTTAAATATATTTTTTACGTAACGTACACAAACGCCACCTTTAAAGTGTAACGTTTCATACATAGTCGGACTCTTTCCTGGTTTGTGTGCAAGGCAGAATTGGGTGTGTTTTGCAGAGCCCTTGTTGAGAATCCAGACTTAAATCTCACAACAATGGAATTCATCGTTCAAGCCTGCGCGCGGGGCTGTGTACATATTTCTCTGTCACCGCGAAGGTTGCCTCATTTGAACAAATGTTTTTTTTCTTTTCAAGACGCAGGAATTACCGGTGATAATTTGTCTTGCCCTCCGACCCTGGCGTGTTTGTCGGAGGGGGTCTCTCTGGCCTGGCCCGCGGCAGCCCCCCCTCCTCCTCTCCGGCCTCACTAATTCACGGTGTAATTTCCTCGATTCAGAATGTAATTGCTGCAGGGTCCCGTGGAAAATTACACCCAGAAGTTGAAAGAGTGGCGATTCCTAATGCAAAGAAATTACAACAATCAGTCATTGCATTCATGTATTCTTGTAATAAATAATTTATTTCCTCACATTTCAATAAGCTTTTATATTGGGGCATAAATGTTATTAATAACCGTGCCCCGAAATGTTCTTTTTACTGCTTTCCCTTTAAAATTGTCTTAAATAAAGTTCGAAAAAAATGCAAAGCCGGTCCTATTTAAGGTTTATCATTATTGGGTGCATTCTAGTGTAAAGTATGGCTCGGTGAAGTTTATGGATATTGTGTTATCTCTGCTTAGTGATTTCACACTGTATACCATTTATGCGTCCATGCAGTTAACATTTCATATCTATAAAATGGATTGAGGCCATTTGAGACAAACCCAAGAAGTTTTTTTTTCCTCCTTCGCTCTAACACAAGTGATTGACGACGCCCAAACATCCCTGCCCCCGCGCCTCCCCCACGTCGCCCCGCCATCCCCTGCCAAAAAATTGTGCGTAGCGGTAAGAGGGGGGAGGAGGGGAAAAAGGTGATGTGATCGGACAGTGCTGTCATACAGATCGCGAGCCGCCATTAACCCTCGGCGCGCCGATGCCGCGAATCTGGCGAGCGCAGGGAAGGGGCACGCGAGCGGGCGGCAGCGTGGCCTCGCGAGCCGGAACACGGCCCCACGTCTGCCACGTCGCGGCAACGGCCGCACCCTCGTCCCGCCGTCCGCCCTGGGGCCTCGTCGTCGTCGTCGTCGCGAGCGGAACTGGCTCGAACGGCTCCGCTCGCTCGCTCGCCGTGGCTCAGCCGGGAGGAGCGGCGGGCACGCGCCGGCGGAAAGGGTTAATTGCCGGGACAAATGGCGGCTCGCAAACAGGCGGCAGGGAAAGCTCGTGGCTGCCAGGGCACGGCTCTCGTGCTGGCCCCCGCGCGCATCTGGGATGACCTTGAGAGATAGGAGCAGCGGGGAGCCGCGGCTGAGCCCGCTCGGCAAGCGCCTCCCCCTTCTTTTTCATATATGTGCAGCCCACTGAATTCACGCAGGTTTTTATGATGGGCGCTCTCTCTTATAATAAATTTAGTGTCCTGGAGAAGGGATGAAGGATCGCCGCGGTCCGGGCCCAGCAAATTGGATTTTTAATATCGCTGTTCGGTAATGTTTCCCTGCAGCGAGATTCAATTTGCAGAAATGCAGGATGGGATGGGCTCTGAAAAACAGTGGTGTGGATGTCAGTGGGGATAAGAAACTGGCCTGAATATTTTTTCTCTTTTCCCTTTTTAAAATTAATTGCGCCCATTGCTCGGTGTTCTGCGTTTGGCAAGGTGGCCCGCTCGGCGGCTCTTCCCGAGGGAAAGCCATGCAGGTGCTGCGGTTGTGTCGCGTGCCTCCTCGCCGGGGTCGCTGCGGCCTCGTGGAATCGCAGTGGAGATAATTAGAAACCGTTTGTTAAAAATCTCAGCCCTGTTATTTTTGTGGCCGGACTTGAGACGTTGCGCTCGGTAACGGAGTTCTCTGCAATAAAACCGGAATAGAAGTAGCTTTGCTTTCTCTCTCCCACCCCACCCCCGCCCCCATTCTCAATATTCGCACAAAAGAATTCCAAAGCGAAATAAAAAAAACTCAACCGAAATGAAATGAATGTGCTCGTGCTCTCATAAGTGCCGGGTTTTATGTTCCATAATTCACACTAAGCTGCGTAGTTGACGTTGGCTGCATGATTATGTAATAACAATGATGCACAGCCCTTTTGGTCAATCCACTGCTGGATGAAGGGCACTTATGCCGCGTCAATCGTGGGGGTCATTTTGTCATGCTTCGCTGCCAATCAGCAGTGCGAGTTGGCGAAGGGGGGGAGGGGGGAGGGCCCAGCAGCGGTTCGGACGTAGCTCGCCGCTCACGTTAGCCGTGGCCTGGGATTTAACTTGGGTACGAATTCCTGGTCACGCTTCACGGCGTGTTGCGCTAACCGCTCCGCCGCCACTCCATGCTTGCCGTGTGATTGCACGGCTACAGCGTTAGCCACGGTCCCACTTTTTGCTCCGAAACCCAGAGCCACAATACTCTCTCTGCCTCGCCGCACCCAGGGCCACACCTCCGAGCCGGGCGCTCGTGAAACACCGGCGATCGGCACTCGCAAAATGTCGCCAGCGCGTCTTTGCGCGCACGCGAGGGAATGACGGGGCTGCGGAGCCCACCTCGGACATTTACATCCGTGGGGCGCGGGGGGCGACGCTCGTTTGAGGCCCAGGGGCGTCTGGAGCGGCGAGTGTTACCTGCGACAGCGCCCGGGGAGTCGGCGTGACGGGACGGAGCGGCACGGTGCGGCCAAGAGCCCTGTCGCCGACGTTGGCCGGGCACGGCGCCCGTCGCGTCGCACCGTAATTGTGAAATGTAAACGCGTCAACGGTGGGACGCGCGATCATATCCCTGGGGTTGAATTCTGAGCGGTGGATCATTCGTTCTCTCTTTATTTGGAGACACGGGAGAGCCGCGTAACTGCCGCGGTCTGTTTGGCGAGGAGGGCCGAGGAAACAATGGAGGCCATGGCGAGGGTAGAAATGCGTTTTAGCAGAGTGCGGCTGTGGTGATATTCACACGCATGGCTGTCATGTTGGCTACGTACTGCGCGAAAGAAGTTCAACATACATGCCAGAACAACACGCTTATGGACCAAAACAATATTATCTAATAAAAACTATACTTATGTATGCAGGGGCGGAACTACCTGTTTCAACGGGGCTATGCAAGATACGACTGTGCCCCCCCCCCCCCCCTTCTTTCTCCCGACTCACTTTTCCTGAAATAGCTACATATGTTTTTAACCCGTATACAATAATATATCATTTGAGTTGCACCATGTATTGGGTGTAGAATAAGACGGTCTCACAGTGACAGTATTAATAATGAGATTTATAGGTACAATACTTGCAATTAAGTTATCGTGCGTCTTGCTTTCATGCCAGCCCCATTGGTCAAGGAGTTCCTCAGTGGGTGGATCGCGCTACTTTATGCTACTCTTTTGATACGACGCCAGATGCGTTAGTCGGCCTCGGTCCATGGTAGACCGCAGGTACATTTTTAATTAATACTTTTTGTATTTTTTTTTACAATGTTTTACTGGTTTATCTTTTGATTCAGGGCCCACTCCTGGCCGACGGGGCCCCTATGCATCACATATGATGCTGCCACATACCCCCCCCCCCCCCATACTTGCGGCCCTAAATGTGTAGGGGAAAACCGGATGATCCGGAGAAAAATCCATGACCACGGGGAGAGGCATACAGACTCCAAATATACAGCAGACGTCAGGGTCAGGATAAAACCCATGACCTCCTGAATACCAGGCGAGGGAGTTAACATCTCCTAGCCACTGAGGCATACTTTGTCACGATTCCTGCCATGATTCATGCCGATTTTGAGTAAAATGCGAAGCAGTGCAAATGCTTGTCATTTTTCCTCAAAGACGCTTAAACTAAAATATACTTAGTCGATTCCACAAGTTGGTTGACATGTAGGACTATTAACATCCTTCAACATTTGTATGTATGTTGAATTTCCGTTGCACCGTACGTAACCAACCGTGCTAATCAGAGGTGTGGGGCAAGGACAACAAACTGAACGCAAAAAGCAGTTCTAAAAAAATTATGATACGTATTTCAAAAGTTATTAAATATCATTTATTGTATAAGCATGTAAACTTCTGCATGAATAAAACATATGTGATACCATTTCTTGAGATTTGTTTCAAATGTTATTTCCATATACATAAAATACACAGCTCATAATAGTGTTCGGCGCGTTGCCAAATTGATCAGTATATCCGATATCATTTTTCATCGAAACTCTTCTCTCGGTCAAACTACTTTAGCAACATTTTACACAAGTGATTAGACACAAAGGACGTGTCGCACGCACGCACTGTGCATGTACGATGCAAACGACTCGGACATTCACTCTCAGAAGAACATTTAATTATTATAGTTTCTTTTATAATTCTGAGACGTCAATTTTTGTTGTGGCTTGGATGGAGAAGTTTCGTGGTGCGATTGAAATGGTTCCCAAGTATCCGGCACCGTCGCTCTTCATCGTTCTTTATCACTCATCGCTCCTCCTCATCACTCTTCTCCGCTCTTCCTCATCGCTCTTTGACGCTCGCACGGTGCGAGCGGTCACCTCGCCGCAGCATGCGTGGTGTTCAGCACCTCTCTTCGTAGTGAACCTAGCGGTGTGACTGACGCTTCCCCGAGATTTTCCGTGTGGCTTAAAAATGAATGACAGCTGTATTCCGGCTGTGAGCTTTGCAGACTCTGCTGATGGTCGGTGGCGGAGAGTTAATGCACAGGACTTGTGTTGGGGGACAGGCGGCAGCGGCGGCAGTGGCGGCAGTGGCGGCAGCGGCGGCGGAGGTGGCAGCCCTGCCTCTGTCCCCCAGCGCCTCCGCGCCTGCCCTAAAGGAAGTTTCTCCACGCAGACCCAACTCGCTCGGCTCGTGCTTCGGACATCATCATCATCCTTAAACGCAGGGGAAAAACAATCATAAACGATAAACAAATCCTCCGTTGACCGCCTGCGCGCCCGTCCTCCGGCCGCCGCGTGCGTGACTCCTGTCTTTGGTTTGGCATCAAACGCCTGATCAAATATTAATGCGGCTTAGAAAAATCGCAGACCTTTTGAGCGTGACCCACCTGTAACTTAAAGCTGGAAGGCGGCAAAGGTCTTGGCGGCGCGCGGATGCACATTTCTTGTGCGATATTAGAGCTTGTCTTGGCGTGAGAAAATGGCGGAGTGGGTCAAGCACTGATCGTAAAATGGCAGCAGCCGAGGGCGAGTGAGTGAGTGATGAGCGGAGCGCGCTCATGCCGGTGGAGCGGCGGCGCTGACAAAAAAAAATCAAATCACAAACTTACCTGCGACGCGACGAGTCAATCGGGTGCCGTGATGCATGGCTCCCCCCTCTCACTCGCGCGCTCCTCGTCGCAATGGACTCCCGCGACTCGAGTCCCAACCGGGCAGGCGGCATGCGTGTTGGCGCGCGCACGATATCGAAACGTTCTGTTGAATTTAAACGCTAGCTTCTCACGGGTTTAATGCTCCTACTACGTTTATATTTTTTTGTCCCCTAAGCACACCTGCGGTGCAGCATTTCATTTACTTTCTTGGCGCACCATGTAATACCAAACGCCATCTTTACAATTTGCCTCGAAGATTTCATGCCGATGCTTTGCAAGTCTTTATTTGGCATGTAGATTTGCATAGGTACGTAATGTATATCTTTCAAAAGCTCAAACTGAGCGCCGTGCGAGATTAGAGTGGAGAAAGAATAAAGTCGGAGAGGGGCCGCGATGTTTCTCCGTGTCGGGTCGCGACCCGAGCGAGGTTCTCTCTGCCGCGGCCCGCTGGGCTAATTCCTCGCCGCGCTCTCTCCACCGGTGTCTCCTCCACGCCGCGGTAACCCGAACCGCGCCGGCGAGTAGGCCGTCTGCTTCTGCTTAGTGCGCTGCCGCGACCCTCGGTGATGCGCGACGACGAGGCGTGGGGTCTGCCTGGGACGGCGGCTGACGCCCCCCGCTCGCTCGCTCGCTCGCTCGCCCGCTCGCTTGCTCTGGCATGCCGACGAGGTTCTGTCCTGCCCCTCGCGCCGCGCGACTCGCTGCGAATGGGACTTAGCTCGCAACGCCGCCGACGTGCCAGTGTCGGTCTCTCGCTGAGGTCGTGCCCGCTCGATGAGCGATGAAATAAAATTTGAGGAGCGACCGCTTTGGCGGTGGGGGTTGAAAGGATGCTGGCGGGGATGAAAATGTTCGGGAGATGCGTT